GGGGAATTGAGAGGTCCTGGCAGAGTGGGCGGGGAGGGGGGCTGCCGGTCGGGAGGAACCAGGGGCACCAGCGGGGCTCACCAGATGGGGTTGGCATTAATGGCTTCATCGAAGTACAGGATGTAGAGGCAGAAGAGCCCGACAATGAGGGCGTGGAGAGTGGAGACACACCTGGGGGGGACATGCAAAGGGGTCACGCACCCCTATAGATCACACACACCTCAGCCCCCAGGGCCCCCCTACGGATCACACACACCCCATGGCCCCCTATAGATCACACACACCTCCCCCTATAGATCACACACACCTCAGCCCCCAGGGCCCCCCTACGGATCACACACACCCCATGGCCCCCTATAGATCACACACACCTCAGCCCCCAGGGCCCCCCTACGGATCACACACACCCCATGGCCCCCTATAGATCACACACACCTCAGCCCCCAGGGCCCCCCTACGGATCACACACACCCCATGGCCCCCTATAGATCACACACACCTCAGCCCCCAGGGCCCCCCTACGGATCACACACACCCCATGGCCCCCTATAGATCACACACACCTCAGCCCCCAGGGCCCCCCTACGGATCACACACACCCCATGGCCCCCTATAGATCACACACACCTCAGCCCCCAGGGCCCCCCTACGGATCACACACACCCCATGGCCCCCTATAGATCACACACACCTCAGCCCCCAGGGCCCCCCTACGGATCACACACACCCCATGTCCTCCTATAGATCACACACACCTCAGCCCCCCCTCTTTATTCCTCTTCCTGCCTTTCCCCCCTGCCTGAGCCTTTCAGTGGGAAGGAGAGAGGGAGCAGGGATACGGATCACACACACCTCAGCTCCCATGGCTCACACACATCTCTGTCCCCCATGTGACCCCAAGGATCACACACCCCTCCCCTTCTCCCCCATCTTGCCGGGCACTCAAACAACGGCTCCTTTCAGCCCGGATGCCTGGGGCTCAGGATGTTCTCAGGCTAAGCCCACCGGGGATGTGTGACCAGCTTAGCCGGGATGGCTCTGGATGGGGCTGGGGCCTAGTGGGTAGAGCAGGGGGCAGAGCACCAGGACTCCCGAGTTCCCTCCTGCTCTCCCTGGCCCCAAGCACCGGGCTACCTGGAGTTCCACTCCTGCTTCTTGCCGGAGGGCAGTCTGCCGTAGTGGGGGCTGAGCGCCAGCGAGAGCTGGGGGCTGACGGCTGAGAAGAAGAACTGGAAGGACACAAAGCTGCCGGCCACAATGCAGTACCCCAGGCGCGTGGACTCCTCCATGGCTGCCCCGTGGCACCTGCAAAGTGGGGCCCCCAGGGTTCAGATCTGGGACTTCCTGTTCAGGGAGCACCAGCCCTCACCCCTGTGTGGGAGAATCGCCAGTGGCAGAAAGCACTGCAGGGCATATGACACACAGCAGAGATGCTCCCTTCCATCCAGCAAGAGGCAGTGCTCCCCCCCAGGGCCATCAGTCTGTGTCACGGAAGGGAGAAGATGGGAATTTAATTCTCTCTCTTCCCCCCCC